GGATTGGTTCTCAAAGATTCTCATTTAGTACCGCTTCCATAATTGCAATCTTTCATTTAATTTTTTTTCCTTTTCTTTAAAAAAAAAAAAATTCTTTATTTTTGTTGTGCATTATTAAAACAAAACAGTGCCCAGCATGACATCGCAGCATGACATTGTAAATTATTGAAGTAATGATATTGTGAATAAATGCACAATTTTTAAAGTAAGGAATAAAGCAGAGTTGTGGAACAAATCAAGACAAAAGCTATAAGACAAGAGTAGTGTGTAAAACATATCTTGTCTATGTTTGAATACCCCTAGGAAGCCCCCGTCAGGACAGGAATTTAAGCCAGAGGAAAATAGGAACAATGGATTTGTGATTAAACGACATCAGTATAGGGTGCTTCAGGGCATTATGCCAGCAGTACGTGTACTTGGACTTCATTATAAGATAAGTCCATGCCCTGCCTTGGCCATGCGTAGACTCTCCACAGAAGTCCCAGCAGTAGGCCCAGAAGCCCACTCGTGCAAGGTGTGTGAGCATCATGTGGCAGATGGGTAAGTCTCTTGTGGTCAGCAAGAGTTGAATAGCCCAGCTTGGTTCGGAAGGCAGTCCCATCGACTGAATCTCTAGCCCCACGGTATTTCTCGGTTGGTGTCTGTGCTCCAGTCGGGTATGTGCTGGATAGATGCTGCACTCTGGATGTATGGCCACATGTCTGTGACGCTCTGCGTTGGTCCCATCCTCCAGTATGGGGGGGCTCCCAGCCTCTTCCCCAGCTGTGCCCAAAAGGACCTGAAATGGCCATTCAGGAGATGTAGAACATTGCTGGATTTGTGGGGGAGCATGCAGCACCTGCCATATTGTGAGTGCTGGAAACAGTTGTGCATTCAGCAGGTATGCCACGCACCCTCAGCAGGATAAGGGAACCTTCAGAGGGTAAACCAGGATGACGGTCCAAAGGGTGGGGGGGAGGTACAGGGCCAGCGCCACTCAGCACAAAGGGTCCAGATTGCTGCAGAGAGGCAGGATAACAGGGCAGCAGCAGTCCACCCCACTCACCACCTGTGTAGCTTTCTGATGTCAAGTGAGGGGTTAATCTGCTTTTGTAAGTCAAAAAAGTCTGAAAGTCATGGGAGCTTGTCTTCCATGCGACTAGTCAGCATGGCGGTCCGTTAGGAATCAACACATCTTTACCCTGCAGCTAAGAGCCTCCATCTTAGCGATCTGTCAGTCATTGTTATAAGCTCTTTGTATCTGGAAGTCTGCATAGAGAAAGCCAACAGATAAAATAAAAATTAAACAGTATTTGTCCTTCTTGTTTGCAATTTGTGTCCTGGCTCATTTAGGATGGTCATGTCACTTGCTAAATCTTTAATATAAATTTCGATTAAAATGAAGCATCACATGGGAAAAAAAGATTAAAACAAGTTATAGGTGAATTGCAATGTTTTATTCAATGGTTTAACTTCCAGAAAAGAGACATTTCCTCTTTATACATCATTACAGCTTGCTTAATAGAAAATATTTATCCCACAAGTTACAAAACTGCCTCAATACAATATTAAATCTTATAATGACGAAGTTGCGATGTAAATACATTCCTTGGGATACAAGTTTTACCTGCCAGTGCAATGCCAAGATTCTGAACAGCCTGGTAGGCAGTGCTGGCATGCACAGCTTCACTGCCCAGAAGAAAAGAAAGTTGCATCTGTCAGACATCATAAGGAGCACATTATGCTCAATGTTAGAGCCAAGAGGGGGAGTCATATTTCATCAGTCTGCGAACCAGAGATGCACAGCATGAGGAACAGCAGGGAAGGAACACTTTTCATCTATCACATCTGTCTGTCTTTAGAACTAGCACAAATGTACTTTTTTTTTTTTTTTAAATCAGGAGGTTGTTTTTGTGGAAGGTCACAGTCAAGCTAAAAATGTACAGTATTCTGAGATTTCACTTTTAAAATTTTTTTATTTATTTTCGCAGTGCACATAGATATCACAACGCGCATGTGGTACCCCAACAGCAATCCACATGCTTTTCAATAACAGTTTTAACAGTGGGGTACATGGTAATACTTGCACAATTTTATATTGATATGAGAGATCGTTCCTATTTTGAGTAGCTTATGTATAGGTTTTGTACATGAAACAAGAAGATGTGAATTAATGTTACACATAGAGATTTGTTTATCAGTTTTTCCTGGAGACATGTATAAGATTGTATATTCTGTAAGCGTAAACATGCGTCAGCACAGTAAGAATAGATATGAGGGTGGCATGACATGGCAATAAACTGCTCAACTATGCCTCACCTAGTGTCTTTAGTAAATTAACCATGGGAACAGAGGGGTATTTCGTCACAGCAGTAACACAGCACATCTAAGGAGATATATCCACCTAGTCTGTTTAGAGTCATCGTGAGTGTAGGGGACAGCAGTAATCACCTAAAACTAGTAATATGCCTTCCGAAGTGAGTCATAGATGACAACTTAGGTAATTATGGCGGCGAGACTCAAGAAATGTCCGCCGGGAGGCCTTGTGGCCTAAATAGGGCTAGTTAAGCAGAATACAAAAATAATCTGCAGAATAAAGCTCAGTAATGGAAAGCATACAGTTATGTTAATAATGTTAATAATAATAAAGTAAGACAAGTGCTCAATAGGTATTAGCATGTGAGATGATGGTGAAGTATGATACCAGAGGTTAAAGGACCACTATAGTGCCAGGAAAACATACTTGTTTTCCTGGCACTATAGTGCCCTGAGGGTGCCCCCACCCTCAGGGTCCCACTCCCGCCCGGCTCTGGAAGGGGGAAGGGGGTAAAACTTACCTTTTTCCAGCGCTGGGTGGAGAGCTCTCCTCCTCCGATCCTCCTCTTCTCCTCCCCGTCGGCTGAATGCGCATGCGCAGCAAGAGCTGCGTGCGCATTCAGCCGGTCACATAGGAAAGCATTCCTATGTGACCTATGGACGCTGGCGTGCTCTCACTGTGAAAATCACAGTGAGAAGCACGCAAGCGCCTCTAGTGGCTGTCAATGAGACAGCCACTAGAGGAAATAGGGGAAGGCTTAACCCATTCATAAACATAGCAGTTTCTCTGTAACTGCTATGTTTATGAAAAAATGGGTTAACCCCAGCTGGACCTGGCACCCAGACCACTTCATTAAGCTGAAGTGGTCTGGGTGCCTAGAGTGGACCTTTAAGTCCTGGACCCCTCACTTGCCCAGGCTAATGCCTTGTTTGCCTTGTTTTATGGCCCAGGCTAATGCCTTGTTTACCTCGTTTTATGGCCCAGGGGGGCCTAAAGGTGTCCTGCTGGCCAAGAGCTAGCCCCCCCGGGGCAGGCGGACAGTTGTTTCCCGGGCAGGTAGCGAGGAAGCACTTTCCCTGAGCTCTTCCTGCTCAGCTCCCTGGCGCGACCCACAGTGATGGCATGAATCGGAATATGACGTCAGTCCGGATCCTGGCATCACTCAGCTCTTGCTAATGCACCTTGGGTAGGACACCTCGTCCTGCACCTCCTGCGGTGGTGGTGGCTGGGGACGCGGACAGGCATTCTGGACGTCACCGTGCTCCAGAGACATTTGCTCTGCGCCTAAAGATGATCAGGAGCCTGTGTCATCTTCCTCCCAAACCCAGCCCATCCGGTAACGGGTGAGTCACAGCAGGATATTTGTGATGAGCAGTGGGGAGCCTGGACAGAGCGGGCGGAAAGAAGTGGGCCTGGCTGACAGATCTGCCCTAAACCCACAATACTGAGTGAGCGGTAGACATGCTTTCCGCCAACCACCTAGTACATGCTAGGTACTGCCACCAGCCACTTACTACATAGCAGGTACTTCTGCCAACCTCTAGGACACAAGCCTCTAGGATCACTATTATAGTTATTGCTCTGCAGTCCATCTATCACATCAAGTACTATGGATGATAAAGCCATAGGACACCCTGCAGAGCAACGGTCTTTTCAGAATTCAAAGCACAATTTAACATTTATTTAATATGGTTTTGGTTCTTTAAAACCAGTTTTATTTTGCTTTTCATCATATGTAAAGTTATGCTGACACAGTGTGACATACTATACAAATTTCAGATATATTTTATGACTATCACACTTGTGTAATCAATAGTTGGATAAAGGTTTAGTCATTAAACGTGGTTTAGTAGTGAATTGAAAATGTGGGCTGTATTTGGGGATCTGCTTGTGGGATTGTGTGTCATATTGTTTTATTCTGTGCCTGGTGTTGTGTGAGGCTGCTTGAGGTATTGTGTGCAGGCTGGGTGGATTTTAATTTAAAAAAAATAATAATAATTGTGAGTGTTGGTGGAAAGTTTGTGTGTGTGTGTTTGTCAGTGAATGTGAGTGAGTGTATGTGTCAGTAAATGTGAGTGTGCGTGTCAATGAATGTGAGTGAGTGTGTTTGTGTGTCAGTGAATGTGAGTGTGTCATTGTGTGAGTCTGTAAGTGAGTTTGTGTCTGTCTGTCGGTCAGTGAATGTGTGTGTATGTCTGTCAGTGAGTGTCTATGAGTGTGTATGTCCAGTGAATGTGTGTGCCTGAGTGATTGTGCATGTCTGTCAGTAAGTGGGCGCATCTTTCAGTGCTTATGTGTGTCTGTCAGTGAGTGTATGCGTCTGTCAGTGTGTGTCTGAATGATTGTATGTGTCTGTCAGATTGTATCAAATCAGTGAGTGTATTTGTATGTGTATGTCAGTGTATCTGAGAGTGTGTGCTGGTCCGTGAGTGAGTGTGTGTCTGTCAGTCAGTCAAAATATATGTTCGTTAATAGGAAGAGGTGTGGCCTTGTCAGGAAGGGGCCGATAAATTTAAATTAGGGGGTGCCCGAGAACAACTCGGAGATATTATGTGTATAAATTACAGAGCTTTACTCCTCACAAACAAAAAATGTGTCTGCTAATTAACACCAAATGTACTGGGTTCTGAAATCTAGGACCTGCTTCCTGTGGATTTTCATTACCTCTTTGGTATGTGTTTTTGGGGATACTCATTGACTTGTAATGATTTTATACATTAAAAATTACTCTAGGTGCAGTGCGAAGGCGGCGCGGAAATCAAACTCGCCGTCCGGCCGTGAAACAGCCTGGGAGAGGTGCGGACAACCCCATTCGCATCAACAAACGGCGGACCACAGGGCTCACCATGGGGGCCGCGATAGCAAGATGCCACAAGCACAGACGCAGCCTAGAGACACACAGTCTAGCAGGGCCCTCTATCAGAGCCACACCATACCTACCACAGCAGATGCCGGCCTACACTCAGACACTCCACCCATGTATCACCGGACTGGGAGAACGGCAGCTCACACCACAGCAGCAGCAGACGGCACAAGGGGAGCCTCTACAAGGCATCGGATGAACCACACAGCACTGGGACTCATTGCCTAGCAAAGGACTCATCACTTCTTTTATTTTTATTTCTATTTATTTTTTCACTAATTTTTCATAACTCAGATGAACTCCCACACCTGTCTGTACGTAACTGATCCCTGCGCATCCCTTCCAACAGCTCACATAGGGGACCATAGAGAGGGAATTCCTCGAGGCATAGCTGTATGAGAGCTTAAAGGCAACTTGTATTCCTGCTATTTATGTCTACTTCCATCGGTGCAACCCACGTTCTAAAGCAACCTATTACCCAGTGGTACTACTCACGCCTTATTATCCGTGCCTGATATGCAATTTTATGGCAAGACAGGAGGCTTCATATTTGCTTATCTTTCTTTACTGTAACTCCCAGCAGCAAAGAAATGGTTAACAATGTTGTATGGAAAAATCAACCAATCATAACATATCTCAACTACAATATAGTGTCATCAAACTCCTCCCACTGCCTCTTTCTTTGCTGCTTGCCTCCCAGGTGAGTCTGCTCCAATTGCATTGCTTTACTGGTTTAAGTTACTTCAATATTTATTTAATCTTGTTACTTACACACATAACAAACTTTATTTTTTTTGATTTACTCATCTTCCCCTTTAAATATTTTCTTCTTTCTAACCTCACATATATATTATTTTTTTCACTGGATTTGTATTATTGGATTGTTCTCCTTTAAAATTTTACGTCCTACCGGATTTTTTCTCTGAACGGAGGGTTTTTTCAAACCCTGCCGCTTTCAATCAGCTGGCCGCGGCTTTTTTTCTCTCAGGAGAGCCGCGGCCCATTCTCTCTTTCTCCTCAGCCGCGGACTCCATTTCCCAGAGTCCGCGACTGCTATTTCCCGCCCTTATCCTTCCTCCCGCCTACTAGCGTCTGTCTCTTGGACGCAGGCTTTTTTCCCGCCCTTTTCAACGGCGGCAAGCTCGCGGCGGCCATTTTCAGCCCCAGAGTAACTGCCAACGGCTCCTCCACTGCGGCGCACAAGTTCTTTTTCAAATCCTGTGGGTACAGAAAATCATATCACTGACTAGCTTGTGGAAGGTAGGTTGCTGCCATCTTATCTCCACCTCATTTCATATACTCATTAAAAAAAAACGATCACTATACTGATCTATCTCCTATTTGTTTTTTCCACAGGCTTTGCCTACACAGGACCATTCTATTACAATCTGGGTGAACCCCTTTCCCTAATTTGTATAATTACAGTGTGGTTTAATTTTATAAATTTTGTGTGATTGCCTTTTATTGCCCTTCTGTGGGTGACCCCCACTTACTTATTTAAAGTACATATTCTGTACAATATCTGTGTGGTTGATACCCAGGGCCGGCGCTACCTGTAAGGCGGACTAGGCAGCCGCCTAGGGCGCCCCTTGGGAGGGGGCGCCGCCAGGAGCGCCGGCCCCGCTCATGCTGCAGCCGCCCGAGCGCTCTGTATTGAGCCTCAGGCGGCTGCAGCTTTGCCCGGGCGGTGCGTCCATGAGGGCGGACCGCACCGCCCGGGCGCAGCCTGAGGAGAGGCTGACAGGAGGGACACGCTGAGCGCTCCCACCTGTCAGCTCCCTCTCTGTAGTGTGGCCGAGCCCTCTATGGCATGGTCCGACCGGTACAGGGAGCAGCTGTCTCCTGTACCCGGCCGGACTAACAGGAAGTGCACACTGAGTGTTCACTTCCTGTTAGTCCGGCCGGGTACAGGAAACAACAGCTCCCTGTACCGGTCGGACTATACTGGGCTCGGCCACACTACCACACAGGTAGGGGAGGGAGGGAGAAGAAAGAGGGAGGGGGGGGAGAAGAAAAAGAGAGGGAGGGAGAGAGAAAGAAACAGGGAGGGAGGGGGGAGAAGGAAACAGAGGGAGGGGGGAAGAAAGAGGGAGGAGGGAGGGGGAAGAAAGAGGGAGTGAGGGGAGAAGGAAACAGGAGGGAGGGGAGAAGGAAACAGGAAGGAGGGAGGGGGAAGAAGGAAACGGAGGGAGGGAAAAAGAGGGAGGGAGGGGGAGAAGGAAACAGGGAGGGAGGGGAGAAGGAAACAGGGAAGGAGGGGAAGAAAGAAACAGGGAGGGGGAGAAAGAAACAGGAGGGGAGGGGAGAAGGAAACAGGGAGGGAGGGGAGAAGGAAACAGGGAAGGAGGGGGAAGAAAGAAACAGGGAGGGGGAAGAAAGAAACAGGAGGGGAGGGGAGGGGAGGGGGGAAGAAAGAAACTGACAGGGGAGGGGGGAGAAAGAAACTAACAGGGAGGTGGGGGGGAAAGAAACTAACAGGGGGGGAGACATTGACAGGGAGGGGAATTGACGGGGAGAGAGAAATTGACAGGGAGGGGGGAGTGACAGGGGAGGGAGGGGGAATGAGAGTAACAAGGGAGGGGGGGAGAAGAGAGTGACAAGGGAGGGGGGAGAGATTGACATCCATCACACACACACACACAATCACACACAATGCACCCCTTACACACAAAGACAATGAACCCCTTGCACACAGAAAAACACACAATGCATTACACACACAATGCATTACACACACACACGCAATGCAACCCTTACACACAATGCATCCCTTGCACACACAGAAACACACAATGCATTCCCTACACACACTCAATGCACCCCTTACAGACTCACACACTTCATCCCTTACATACACAGAAACACACCTTGCAGCCCTTACACATACAAACACAGATTCACAAAATGCATTCCTTACACACAAATCAGGACATTCCCTACACACTCCATCCCCTGTGAACAAACTCATTGGTGGAAAATGAAGGTGGACCCTGGGACCCAGACCTTGAGCTGTGTAAAGGGCCCCCAAAAAATGGAGCTGCTTCTCGCTCTCCCAGAACATTGATTTGTGTGACCACAGTTACAAACAGCCTCCAGAGATCCTGTTATACACCAGACCAGTGGAGCCAGACTGCAGCTAGAGCCCATCATCATCCTCATCTGCTTGTAAGTAGGTAATCTAGTATATTATTCGTGGCACTAATCTCTAATTTACCTCACATTAAAGAAACACTATAGTCCCCAGAACCACTGCACCTTAATGTAGTGGTCCTGGTGTCTATAGCCTGTCCCTGCAGGCCTTTTAATGTAAACACAGCGGCACTGCAGCACTAGCGTTAGTTAACATGGCAGGTCATATGGGTGGGGCATTGCGATGTCACGGGGGGGAGGAGGGGGGCGTCAAACTTTACTTTTGCCTAGGGCGGCAAAAATCCTTGCACCGGCCCTGTTGATACCACCTACTGAAACACTGCTGTGTTAATATTTATGTGGCTAACCCCACCTGATATATTTTTGTGGGTGACCCCCATTGTTTACTGTACATTATATATACACATTATATATATTTATTATTAGTGTAAATTTATAGTGGTGACCCCACCTCAGTAATTGAACAATATATCTTTTGTTCACAATCTCTATTATTGGGTGATCCCCATTAATTGCCCTTTACTATTTTTATTGTGCCAAGCATTTGTGGGTGACCCCCCATTGAATTTGACGTCTCGTGGGTGACCCCCACATCATACTTTCTAATTGAGTTGCCTCATCATTAATTTGACATTCTAACGCTTATAATCTATATATATATATAGATAGTTGTTTTATAGGGTTTACATTTACCTTTAAATTGACATTATGTCAGATCGCCAAGACCCTGCGATTTCTGCCGAACTTAAGGAATGGCTTTTCTCAACTATCGCAGAGTCCATTCCTAAGGCTCTGGCAGCCTACCATGACCGTAATCCAGAGGTACACCCCTCTACTCAACAACCCTCTGATTCTGAGGATTCCCATATCTCCGACCAAGATAGCGCCCCGCGCAAGAGACCCTGGAAAGGGAATAGCGCTACTGCGGGCAAGGGCAAAGCTCCTGCTAAGGTCGTTAAACACTCTAACCCACACGTTTCGCAGGCTACTACAGACCCTCTAGAGGGTTCTACTTCACATTTGTCTGGCCATATTCTAAGTGACTATGACCCTAATTACTCTGATGAGGATCCCATGGTGAATGTGCCCCAGGATTCCTCAACATCGGAGTTTGTGAAAGAAACCTTCCTAAGTCAAGATCACAAGAGTAAGGTACCTGACTCAGACACCCTCCTGGATGCTTCAGGCCTTCCCCTTTTTGACCCAAGGGTGATACGCCACCCGCGCTCAGCAGAATGGGCTTCCCCAGATCATATTGCTAATTTCTGTAAACTGTGGCTTCGCAAGCCTCTCGAAAAAGAAATCAGAAACAAACTAAGGGCTGAATGCCCGAGACCAACTATTCCAGGCAAAGTTGCCTCTACCCCTGAATTTGACCCCATGCTGGTCACCTATTTAACAAAATCTGGTAAAGACCCTCGTAAGGGTATTGAACAGGGTTTGAAAGCAACCCAAGACAAATTATTGGACATTTCAGGTCCTATCATACAGATATTCATACTAGCAGATGAGGCACTCACCAGCGGTGAACTTGATCCGCACATTATAAGAGAATGGGCACAGAGAGCCCTTTGCCTTTTGGGCAACGCCAATACGGCTATTTCAATTGAGAGACGCAAAGCGGCACTGTACAAAATCGATGCCAAACTGGTGGATTTGAGCACTAAAGAACTAGGCCCAGAGGCCGATGGTCTTTTATTTGGTAACAGTTTCATGCGAGACCTCTCCAAGCATGTCTCAGTTTTTACCACACTCAATAAAGCCCAGTCCTCTCTACGTAGGGTGTTCCGTCCCACTTTTCAAAATCGTTTTTCTGGGAGAGCTGGTCGCTCAAGGGGCCGAGCTACCAGTAGAGCAGCCTTTTCAGGCTACAGGCCCCGACTCACAGAGTATTGGTCCACGGGATACTCACGACCCTACCACAGGCAGCTGTTCAACACCAGAGGCTCAATTCGAGGACGTGGCTCTGCATCCCTGCGCGGACGCACTGCTTCAGGTAATGGACCTTGCTTATTTAAAAACTGTATCAATCGCAGGTCGATTAACATTCTTTTTCCCACAGTGGAAAGTTCTTTCTC